AAAAGATATTTCAATAAACTGAGAAACATTTTTACAGCATTCGATTACATATTCACTCTAATTTATCACAGGAATCCGATTATTGCTTTTGAAAAGCTTACAATATTTTTTAATAGCATTTATAATTGCGTGGTCAATGCTTTGCCACTACATTTATCTAGATCCCGAAATTTCTGAAGGCTTTCATGAGCTTTCAACGGTTTTCTGATGAGTTATTGGAAGTGGATGAACCCATTGTAGGAATTTTGTCCAACCAAGTTAGGGGCTGCATTGGAATTGATTGAACAGATAGTAAACTCATGACCTCCTACTTCAACTTTTCAATTTTTTCAGATAAAGGCAGATTTTTTTTGCGTTCGGTGACAAAATCGGGTCAAAATCTGCAAATTTTCCAGCAATGCAAGATTTTTATGCGCGGTTCCAAAAAATAATGGACTTTAACTCAAACATCTTGTAAAACAATTTTTCTTACAAATTTATCTGATTTTTAATCCTCGTTATGTAAAAAACTTCCTCTTCCTCGTCCAGTGCAAGGTGTGTACAAGGCAAAATCATGTCGATCTTTCGTTGGGGCTATATATGGAAATTGCCTAGGGACTTGCACGTCGGGTATTGACTCTGGCCTTTTGGCATCATTCACATCATACATCTATTTTTACACCTTTTATGTTCTGTTAAGGTGCGTACGTAAAAGATGCGTAAGCTTCAAGGTAAAAATTACAGGTGATTGAAAAGAAAACTTGAAAAAAGAAGCGAAATTAATGGAGGTTACAGTGATATCGTACAACCTAGAACAGAGCTCTTGAAACTTCAAGAAGGTTTACTAAATATGTTTCCAATAAGAAATTGTACGTATGGTGACTACAATAAGTTGATTGATTACTCCCAAGGGAATCGAAGCCAACGGGCAAAAATTTTCAGGACAATAACGCATTCGGGTATGAACGAAGATTGAGAGCCGAAATGACATATGGAATTCACTTGAGAACAATTAACGTGAATTCGGACAAAGTTTGGTGAGCCTTACGATGCTATAGCAGTAAATTTCAGTAAAAATTCTGCATAGATTTCATACTCAATACTACGACTGATCGCTATAGTTTTGACTACGAGAAGAGGACCAAAATAGCCAGAAAAATTATGGGATTAAGCAAACGGAAAAGCAGTCTTGAGATTTTCTACGAACTAGGATAAGATTAAATAAGAATAATACAATAGCATAAAAATGCTTAACAGAAATAGAAATGGAATGGAAAACTTGGTACTGGTGTGGAAATAAATAAAATTTGAATTTTGTCACCAAGAATTGCAATTTATTTTCGTTTCATTCCTTTCCTTAACCTTGGTGAAATTCTGATCCCTGAGACTTCCCGTGAAGAAGAAAAACGGAAGAAGCAGGTTATATTATTTTTAAGCTGTTTTATTTCAAAAGTGAATTAATATATTGAAAATACCTTAACAGTTTGTTGTGGACAACTTTTCGGTTCTTGCCGTTCTTGGTCATCTTTGATCGTATCAGTAATGACAGTAGCACCATCATCAGCGTCGATTAAGGCTGATTGGGAATTTAACGGTACACCTTCCCATCTGGCTGTTACGTGATCTGAAAATAATAGAAAAATCCTCCGTATTTGAGCTAATTTTCACATATGGTCCCTAAAACACTCACCCGCACTTACTACCCCTGAAGTTTTACTCTGTAATATTTCGTCGCCAAGGCCATGTAAAAACGCAGGTTGCGTCCTGTGCGGCGCAAC